CTTCTGGACTCAGTGCGGGGATACTTCAAACTCTTATGGCACGAGTACATATGTTCCTTTATCATCCTTGATTCTTATTAGCCTAGTTAGTACTTTCGATTTCGAACGATTACTGCAAAATGCTTGCAGGGAAAAATATCTAGTATATGGAATAACGGAAACCACTGCAATACGAATTGATTTGGAGCTGAGTGCAGTGCATTTACAAGTGTTATACCACCTTTCCTTTTTAAAAAGCGAATTTAGTTTTGAAACAGGCTCGCACTCCCATCTATCTTGTAAGAGGTGCGGTTCTGGTTGGCCCGGTGAACTTCTCAAATTCACACTGACGGCTGCTGATATCGTCATAGTCATGTAATCTTAGAACGAAAAAAATGTAAGCAGACTACTCTTCATAACATATCTGAAAATGGCCGCCTTTCCACGGAAAACGAGCGCGTGAAAGGAAATAGTCTCATATCGGATTTTCAATCCTCACCATATAAGTCGAATACATATCGACTCTCAGCATAGTGAACTCTATTCATGATTTCAAACAAATAATTGAAACATGGGTATAAGAAAAAAAGATCCAGTGTATGGAATGACGGCAACCGATTCAGTAGAAATTGGTTTGGAGCTAAGTGAATTTATAAGTGCTCCACTTTCCTTCTAGTTCAAAAGTGATTTTCGCTACACAACAAGAGAAAACACTGTAAATATGTTGGCCCCAACACGTCCCACCCTCCAAATCTAAGTGTAAAAACTCAAGAGCGGGCCTGCTTTCCACAATGAGCTAAATAGCCGTATCATTCCGACGGACATTAAGGGCTCAAAAAATCTGAGCGTTGCCATCCGCGCTATACCGTCCCAAGCTGCACTGACAGAGAGTGCCCGGATCCATAGTCCGTTGCACCTTTCATTGTTTTTTTTCCGTGGCTGGTCCAACCGCTACATAAGGATTTGACCCCCGTGTGCTCGAGTCTGTTTCACAGACCTCCGAACTTCGAGGCAACGGGAAAAAGATGTTGAGGCATCAAAAATGTTTGACGGACTGACGCCCTTCACAGCAACCGACGCTGTTCACCCCAAAACCGTTCCGATCATGTAGACGCTCGATTTCGCAATCCACATGTCGACTATCAAGCACGGCAGGAAGTCAGCCATTCCCCATGCAGACACTCGAATTCGCAAGCGCCCAATACGCACGCCAAAGGTCTGGCGTCTGTGACATGCGATAGTGTTCAAGTGGCTACAGTAATCGGTAAGGTGTCATTCTGCAACTCAGCCACCTACTCAAGCGTCGGAAGCGCATTGGTTTCAAACCTGGGGCCTGAAGGTCTCCGGGTTCACTTTTTCTTCCTCCTACACATCTTTTTGCTGTCTCCACAGTCCCTGTGCAGGCCGTCCAGCACCAAGCATCTCCGTCCGGAAAGCGGCAGGGAAAGGAGGCCGGTCGCGAAGGCACGGGCAGCAGCGACGTCCCATGCCCCCATGGCGCAGAGCAAGCTGGGCCCGAGCAGTGGCAAGCAAGGGTGGCCCGCTCGGGGCCCCAGTGGACAGCAGCGTGTCAGGGCAACCGAACACGGCATCATCGTGGGCGGTAGCGAAGGCCCTCGTAGCTTCAGGTGGGGATGACCTTAGCGCATACTGCAGGCCACGCTGTTCCGGGATCAATGCAGGATCACCAACCCACACTGCCGAGTCAGGCGCGAGTTGCGGGACTGCATCAGGCAGGACGCCGGCCGCATTCCACACACGAGTCTTGGAGGCATTCAAGCGCAGTCGGGCCCGTTGCCAGATTAGGTCCTCGAGACGGCCGTAGAGCAATGCGACCCGGTCGGGTGAGGCAAGGATGTAGACATCATCGAAGTATGCTAGCACTTGCTCAGTGGAGCTAGGCTCCCGTAGGAGGTCATGGAGGGCCGGAGCGAGAGCGACCGAGAAAATGGCCGGCATGAGGGGGTCACCGTGTTCGCTGCCCTCCGACTGGCAGAGGCGGTGCGAATGCTCTCCGGCGCACCAGAGGCATCCCTCACAGCAGAGGGCATCGCCTCGCGGCTGAGCAGGTCATATGCGGCCGTGCCATCAACTGAAATGACAGTGAGATGTGCGTCAGCTTCCGTGCGGGCGTGCAAGGTTTGCACCAAAGCTTCGGCCCCTGCCCGCGACGATAGGGCGTACTGGTGCGGGTTGCACGCCGCCTGGAAGTGTGACGCGAACGGTTGGGCTAGGGCACGGGCAACCAGACAATGCAAGAAATCCTCGACGACACGGCCGCGAGTGCCGCCCCAAAGGCTTGCTGATAGCAACCAGGCGACCAATTGACAGGGCAGCAACGGCTTTCTCCTAGGGCGATGGCCCCTTACAACCACTGACCCCACGTGACGTCGAGATGAACTAGATTCACCAACATGGCGCACAGAAAAGATTGAGACTCAATCGATTTTGCTTGTCCTAGAACTAACTGACCATCATCTTTCGGCGGTTTCCAAGCTAGTGTTTAAATCGATACAACCAAAAATCGTTTCATTATTTACCGTATTTTTGCTTGTTTGGCACCGAGTTGGCCGCCAATTTGTTTGGGTTGTTGCAGCGAATTCTTGGTCTTTTTCTACGGGACTTTACACCAATTCTCGTGATTTGCGTCTGATCGGCCACCGATTCATGATGTTGGAATTATTTACATTTTGTCGTCCGATGTCCAAGACATGTTTTTTTTGTTTTTTTCCTCCCGCTTTTTGGCGACTGCAAAGAGAAGCCCGCGTCGGCACCTGCGGCTTACGGTTGGCTGCAGGATGCTGCGGGAACAACCGCAGCCGGGGGGGAGGCCGCAGCCTGGGCTAGTCCGCGGCGTCCGAGGTTGCTGTGGACAACATACACCCAAGCCAGTTATGGCACCCTTCCCGTTCCAAGACTCAACCAAGACTTGTATCGGATCTGCTCCAGAGACAAACAAGCATGAAGGTGGTTGTGCTTCTGTTGTCAACACCTTCGTCTTGCTCGCATTCAGGATTACACCAACTTGCCGAGGATGCCGCATCAAGCTTTGTAGCAGGGTTACGGCTTCGTGCGCTGATTTTGCAAACAGGAGGATATCATCAGCGAACCGGAGATCGAGTAAATTCGCCAAGCCATCATGTAGATCCCAACCTGAAATTAAATGTTGGCTTCTCCATTTGCGCCTTGCGTGTTGTAGAACACTGCAAAATATCCTGGGGCTCAACACGCAGCCTTGCCGAACACCTGCACGAATATTGAAATCTCTTGCTGTGCCCAGACTGCCCAATCACGTGACCGTGCTGATCACAATACAAGCAATGTATGATCCAACGCAAGTGTGCTGAAACTCCCTGGTCAGCAAGTGCTTCCCATAACATGTCCCAGTCCATCCGGCCGAATGCCTTTAATAAATCAAGGCTGATAATCCACACCGGCAGATTTGATGCTTCCGTTTTATCCACCACATGCATCCGCGAGTACGCCTGCTTCAGAGCATCTGCATGATGCCTTTCACGACAGAGTGACATCCGACTCCTCTTACCGACAACATAGCAGTGCAGCAAGCCAGGCACGTGCATTAACGTGGGCAGCGGCCTGTTTTAGCAGGGCGCTGCTGCGGTTCGTAGAGGAACTGGCATCGCCTGACACAGATCGTGGAGCGTAAAGAAAGGGTCTACGTGAAGCGTGTTCCTGGCAAGCAGAAGGGCTTCGTCTCACCTTTCGGAAGCTCTCACGAAAGCAGCTTGCGCGAGAAGCCGGCGGATCAGGGGCCTTCGAAGAGGGGCAAGGGAAGTTCACCGCGGGCACGCCGGAGGCCGGCACCGTGCAGCAGCTGGCCGTCCTCTTCATCACTAAGAAGGATGCGGAGGTGCTCATTAGTGGCGCCGGAAGGCCCGGCAGCAGCCGCGTCGGGCGGCGCGCAAGCAGTCGAGGAGGGCCAGCTGTGGCAATGGGCATGACACCTTGGGCACGTGCCGCATTGCGTCCTCGAGGGGGGGACCATAGGCGACGGGCGGTCGCCTAAATCGGGATCCCGGAGCTCGGCGAGGGTGTCGTGCTCGCCGGGCCGGGCGCAAGCGGCTCAGCCGTCAAGGCACGGGGGAGAGCTTGCCGAGGTGGACGAGGGATGCGGTGCGGCGGGCTCGGGCGGCGTCGCTGGTGTGGTCAGCGGGCCGGGATGGCGCGGCGTGTGCGACATTGTGTGCGACTGCTGCTGCCGCGTCACGCAGGAGATCGGCCCACCTGCCGGCCCTGAAGGATCGCAGCGTCGGTCAAGCTCGGGCGGCACACGTGTTTCACCGGGTGCGCGGTAAAGCAACATGCGCGGCGCAATGCAGAACTGTTTCCAACCGCGCACTTCGTCATCCGGGCCTGCGGGGTGAACGGCTAGTCGCAAGCCGGCGCGCAGTGCGGTGCGGAGAGCACCCCGGATGCGTGGGGGAACAGACTGCAGCGTGAGGGCGCGAAGTCGGCAGGTAGACGCAAGGTCAACCGCATCAAGGGCGACGAGGCCGAGTCGCATGCCTGCTTCGGCGGATCTTTTGGTGGGGGCTGCAAGGTCCAGCAGGATGAGGCGACACGTGTCAGAGGAAACCCGAGAGAATGCTTCTGACCAAGTCGGTACACCGTCCAAAACCAGCTTATGCAGATGACGAGGCTCATCTAAGTCATATGGCGCATCGGCTGAGTGGGCATCGCGATACCGGTGAAAGGCCTCTACTGCTAAGGCAGGTGGGTCGATCCGGATGCCCACCATGTTTTGGGCGGCATGCTCTTCAAGGTTCGGTTGACCAATGCAAAATTCCAGGGTGAGAGTTTGCGACCTTGCACCACGCCCACAAGTTAGTGTGTAATCGCCAAGCGGCGAAGGGGCAAGTCAAAACGCAACCGACCGAAGCTGTAAGCCCATGGCTGTCGGTTGCCGTTGCATCCTAACCCAAACACACCTGATCAAACTCAGCAACGTTCGGGCGGACTCGCCCGTCAGATCCGTCAGTTACCCTGTAGTAGGAGCTCGGGTGCGGAGACACGCGCACACTCGGACAGGTAATCTCTCTTTTTCCCGTTGCCTCGAAGTCCGGAGGTCCCTCGGGCATACAGACGCAGACGAAGTCTGGTCTTTTCGTGGCGGTCGGACAGGATGTTCGAGCCGCACAAGTCATCACATCGATCATGCCTGGCAGGTGGTGAAAGGAAGATTGCTGCACGCCGATTTTGGACAGCTTCACACGCAAATCATTTGCCACTATGTCTTCTTGCAAGGCTCTTCCGCACATATGTTCAATCATCGGTTTGTTTCGGCACAGCACGTGGCACCTTGTGCAATGTCGTGCTTGTTGCCACAATCTGCCGTGATGCGTCGGCGAGCGAAATTTCAGCTTGGATCCTGGATCCATTCTGGAAGCCCAAGTCAACGGACGGTTACGCTCATCAGCAATGTCATGAGAAATGCCTCAAACATGAACATGATCAATATGGACGGAAATCCTTCTTTATTCTTGTAGGGAAAACAGCACGGAGGACTTGGCACAAACTGGTGGCCAGAGAAAGCCCCTTCCACTTCCACGATGCCGATTCCGAGGCGGACTTATCGGAGCGGCTGCTACGCACCTTGAGCTCTAAGCCCCCAGGTCGCGATGAAAGACTGAACATGGCTGAACCATGCAGTCCGGCGGCAGCCAAGGGAAGAAAGAGAGGCCAAAACTGTTGTCAGAAGGTGTTCTGAAAGTCCGGCAGCCGGACAAAGCCACCCAAACCGACGGAAGAAGCATCTGCACGAGAGTCAGCCAACGCAACTTATCGCAACACAGTCAAACTTCGGCAGGAGCATCAGGGAGCGAAAGTCGGATCCGGACGTACTCAAATCAACCACATACGGAGCACCTCAGTTGAAGGGTCGGACAGGCAACACACGCGACGAGCCAGAGAAGATGATTGAACCCGACGTGTAACAAGCAGGGTTTAGCCCACACGGGGCAATTTGGAAGCGGGCAGGATGGCAGCCAAGCCTGCAATGAGCACCGAAATCAAGGAGTGCTGCTCGGCATAAGGACGGGCGGAAGCAGCGAAAATGAGAAGAAAGCCAGAGGAGCTTGCCGGGCCCGTTCCGGACAGAACAGTCTCGCGAAAACAAAAACTTTTGGAGAAGAGAAGGGAGACGGGACATTTCCCCTGGGCCGAGGCGGACGGTGAAGCGAGCGATGCTCGATACTTCCTGCTGCACAGCGACCGCAAGCATGCGCTTTTACAACGCTGGTTTTTCGGACGCTGCCGCTGGCGCAAAGCTACCGGTATGTGTGGGCAGCGGTGTGGAAGATTCTATCGCCGCGGCAGCTCCAGCTGCTTCGCACACAGCACGGACCCACTTGTTCGACGATGGCTGCTCGGCCAGCGAGGAAGCCCGTCCGCCGACATGCAAGCAAATGGTAGCCGAACCAGTCGATGAGCGCACCGCAGCCGTGCGTCGGTCCACATCTTGTGCGGAGCAAGTGTAGTGGCAGGTTCTATTGGTATGGCAGCAAGCCATGCGCAACGCATATAAGATCTTTTGTGAACATCCGGGCACCAAGTGTCAGCTGGCAGCAACAAGTTGGTTGCGTGTCTGCGACGCATGGAAACTTCCACCCACGCGGCCAGCCTCAGGCATGCCCGAGGCCACGGCATCGGTAGTGCTCGCGGCGACTCCGGCTCCGACCGCTTTCCCCAGGCATTGCTTGAGTCCCAAACGGCCTAGGCTGCGGCTTCCGGCGGTTTCTCCGATCTGCAGGCGACACGCAGCCACATGGGCTGCCGCCGTCTCCGATGGGGCTGTTGCGTTCTCGCGCAGGCACTCAGCGCCAGCCTGTGCAGATGCAGGCGGCGAGCGGCGGCAAGGGCAGCCATTTATGAGCGGCAGTAGCTCGGTATCGCAAACAAATTTGAGCCAACCCGCCGCGCAAACGGCGGCAACGAACGAGATGGTTGCAAAGGACAACATCGCTCTCAAACTTAGCTGGCAAGGAGTCGACACCGGGCGCAAACGGCGAAAGAAGGCAGAAAGTGATGGCTAGCTTGTAGCTACAAAACCGAGTCAGAGATGAGTCAGACTTAGCACGTCACATCAGACAGCGCCGGAAACTGACAAAGCACCCTAACCCAGCAGTCTCAAGATTCCTGGAAGGTTGCTACCGCAGTGGAACAGTGACAAGTCATGGTGCAACGAGCTGTCTACCAAGCCAACCGCAAAAGCACCACGAGTCACACGGCCACTAGTGCCTTTAGGATCATGCTGAGATTGCTCCTGTTTGTTCCTTTTCTCTAGCACAAGAGCACCTACCAGAGTCTCTACACGCTTCGGGAGGGCAGCTCCTCAGCCCCGCTACTGCAATAGATATTCAATATTCCAGCTGAAGAACGCTTGAAGCAGCCCCATCTCCTGAAGCTCTTGCGATGGCTCAGCGACAAGCTGGGGATGGAGGAAAAGACACTTTGTACATCACCATCGCACTCATGCAAGCATAGGGCCTTGCCCTTGCCTATTCATCCTTGTCGACAGGGAAAATGTCCACACTGAGACCTTGAGACTTCAGCCCATCGCAGTATGCCTGTCATGTGGGCTGGACCAGGAGTTTCTACCGTGGCTCGCAACCCACCTCTGCAGTTTCGAAGGAGTAGGTGCCTACAACGGCAACTCCTTCCTTGTGCGCTTTCATCATGACCTGCACCACTGGCCACATGAGCTGCACAGACTGAGTTGAAACATGCAGTGACCTGGTAGGCATCCCCCTCTTTGAGTAAGCAAATGGTCATCAGGCACCTTTCGATCACTTTAATGAAAGCTCGGCATAAAGCAAAGCCAGAAAAGCTCCGGCCTAGCAACAAACTCGCGCTTGTTCAAGGGGTCGTTGTACAGCACTAGGCGGTATTCATCGGCACGTTTCTGCTTCGTCTCCTGACGACTCTACCATGTTGAAGGGATCCCAAAAAGGTCACCACCTCTCTTGCCGGTAGCCTCCTCAACCTTGGCCCCCGGAATCGCCACGGTTGTGGTCACAGGCGGCTCTTTGACCGGCATGTCGACGGCTCGCCTTTGAGGGCACGGAGATTTTTGTGCCTCCGTTCTGAGTCGGCCGGAGCCTCGCGGTTCTGCGTCCAGATCGCGCTGCAAACGCTGCACAAAGCAAACCACTGCCTGTCTGCCACGTAAGGACACATGTTTCGGGCTTTCTGACCATCCCTGGTCTCTGCTCCAACCACATCCAGTCACAAGCTCTGCTACTCTGGCAAACCTGCGGCAACATCTCGTGCTGCGAGTGCGAGTGGGCTCCCCCTTTCCTGCCGCAATCTACAGCAATGGCTGTTGGCTCAGCACGCACAGAGCTGGCATTCAGGCAGATTTGCCTGCGAAATCTGCGAAGCTGGAGGAGTCGAAACAGTCCGTTGGGCGCCTGACAACGCGACAGCCTCGACTCCGGGCCTGTGGTCTCAACTGATCCGCCTGAAGACGCGGATGGTCTGAAAGCCACGAACGCGGGCGACGCCGCGCCAGTGAGCATGTTTGGAAGCGATCTGCTCTTCCCGCATATGCGAGCTTGAGCAGCAGCATTCGAGTTGCCTTATGCTACTGATAGCATCTGCAAGGCCGTTTCAAGGATTCGCATCAGAAATCGTGAAGTGCACAGAACAAATCTGCGCAGCTTTGTCCATTTACGCTGAAGCACCTTTGTCGATTCAACTGGCGACACTCCCTTTTAGGGATGTGCGACTGTGCCAGTGCCATAAAGCTCAAGTCCAGCCAACGAACAGGCGCCTCTGTTCTAAATCCGGCTGGAAATCCAAGGTCCAAGAGGAACACTTGGTGGTCCGCCGCAGCTTCGCTGACCGGCGGAGGATCAAAGATGTTGGGTGTTAGTCAGTTTTCGTTCTGAGAGGGTACCGGTAGGATTGAGACCTATATTTGCATGCAACAGATTCTATACACATCCACACTGTTGTAGTTGTCATCTATTGCGACGAGTCTTTCAACAGCAGCTGCGCCGTATGCACTGATTCAATGAAGGAATGCAGGCCACCTGCGAGGGCTGGCAACTGCCAGGCTTCCAGCTTCTTCAGCGACCTGCAGAGCTGCCATCGAAACTGTGAAAGTACGGACAGTGCAGCCCGTAGAGTAAGGTCACTGCTCCTTTGTGCGCTCCAAGAGTTTCGCCGCAGTTTCACCTCGCATCCGGCACTCGAAACGATCGCTGAATCTGCAACGGTGCAGGCGCTGACATGCGCTCACTCAGCCACGGGCTGGCTGGGTCATATTGCAAGGCGACTTCGAAATCTGCTGCAGCACCTCAAGCCATTCGCAGCTCAAAACAGTGGGCGGGTGCATAAGCATGTCAGCCAAGTTGCTTTGGTAGGCTCCTCGTCGATACTGAGCTTGACCACGCAGGCACCTCGAGCAAGAAAGTGAAACTGAGACTCTGCAGAGATTCGTTTTTGCTGCTCGCTCTGCTCCGTCGAAGCCGCGGACAAGATCTCGGCAGAGGCGCCGTTGAGCCGCATTGCCTCCAACATCCAATCACTCGTAGAAACGCGGAAAAAAACTTAGCTCTTCTGTTTTCTTGGCCTCGCTGCTGTCCTCAACCACCTCCTCATACTTGCCTGCTTGCACAGGATAGCGACCGCGTCGCGTTGTTGCTCCAACGCAAGTGAGCCACCACGGCGCAGCTGGATCTCGGCACGGAGCTTCCAAGCCTGAGCGCACATGGAAGCTCCAGGGCTTCCAGGGCTCCAAGCGGCCATGGCCAAGCTGGCCTCGGCTTCTTGAGGATCGCGAGAGATTGCCTCCACCAGAAAATCAGCGTAACGTGGTCACAAAGGTGTACTCCAAGTGTTCCAAGTGTTGCTCTATCCTCTCTGATCGCTGGCCTGGCTCAGGTCGGACACTGCTCCAGCAGGATCCGTTTGGCTTCTCGCCAGCGCCCGCAGGTACCACGCATCAGCCTGCCAGTGATGAGGCCAAGACGACGACTCTCGCAGAGACACTTGATTACGTAATTAGTCCAAGTGTTGTTCACCCGGTATCTCCCACGGACCCAGCTTGCAACTTCCCTGTCCGGGGTGTCCTTTAGCAGAAGACAGACCAAATGGGTAGTGGCTCATTGGAATGTGCACGTCGTGCCACAATTCGAGAACGATAATACAAAGCTTGTGCTACAAGCCTAGAGCGGGCGATGGCTACGAGAGCGCTGGGTATAAGTATAAGTTGGACATCGCGTATCATCGAACAATTCTTTCGGAGAAGCCTTCGTGTGGACCAAGCCGGGCCCGACGAGGCTGAAACTGGAAACAAATGATGGGCACCCTAAACTGAACCAAGCCGAATGTTGATTTTTCGCATCCTACCAACAAAGGATTCCTCCTGCTGCGCTCCCCCCGAGGGCACGAAGAAGCATGCAGAGACACCGTAACCAAGATGTCTGGCACCTCTGATCGTCAGAAATGGTACAAGTAGTCCAAGCAAAGGTGATGTCCCTGATGGAACTGAGGTTCAAACGAAACTATTGGCGAAGTGATGGACAGGAGCGGATTTGCAGCAGGCACGCTTACCCTTACCCTTACATCTTCAAAGGTAATGGCGAGTGGATAAACTCCGAGCAGTTTGTCGTGCGGGATAAGCACAAGCTGGGGCGTGCTCAAGATTTTGCGCCACCATCAAACGCATGTTCTTCCTCACGTCAGAGAACACCCGGGCCCCGCGGGCCCCGCGGGCCTCGCGTCTGTCTCTTCGCAGCGCCGCGGTGCAATCCCGTATCGCTTCTGCATTCTGACCTGCTTCCAACCTCGCGGCATCTCGCCACAGCATGTTGCCTCATGGAGACCCTTTCTTGATGCGGCCAGGAGTCCGAATCTTGGCGCCTGACAGCTCAAGAGGCGTATGGAAAGCCTGCAGTCCGCAGCCCGGCATCTGCCCCCCGCTGAGGGAGCAACGCTGCAGGTAGCTGTCAACTGTTGGGTGCAACTTCACAGCCTCAGACAGCCGAAGCACGTTTCTGCCAGCCAAAGACTGTGTGTTGTGTCAGCAATTCCTGACCAATTCTGAGAAGCTGGCGCGTGAAGCATCTGACTCAGCACCTCCGTAGGTTTAGTGTCAAGTGTGCTTGGAAGCATTTACAAGCCATCGGTTAGATGAAGAGACAAAGAGTCTAGTTCTAGTATGGACACTGCAACCGAAACTGAACTTCAAGTCGACGCAAGTGTCCGGCTTCTGGATTCAACATGTCGCAGCTCGTCATGCCTATAGGGGGTTGGTGGGGGGCGGCGCAGACGGAGGGAGGGGAAGGCGAGAGAGGGGAAGCGGGGGGGGAGTAGGGGCAGTAGTGGTTGGCAGGCAGGCTGGCGGGCAGGCACTAAACCCGTGCAGTGGGCGTCAACGCGTGACTGCGGGCGTGCGAGGGGTGGAGAGGGCTGAAAGGGAGGAACCGAAAAGGAACCGTGCGGTGATGAGCTTGCCAAGCATGGAGCGAAAGCCTGTTGGGCCCTGGCTAGGAGCCTTTACAGGTGCTTGTCCCCGCTGCATGCCGGGCCTTACAACACCAACACTGCAAAGCGCCTGGAACGTCACTCATAGCCAGCCTAAGTCACTTCGGCTGCCGTGTTCTGGCTCTGCATGAAGGACTGTAAAGTTTTAAGTCCATGGCCTCACCGCCCCGCGATTGCGCCAACTGGCAGCATGCTTTGGGTCCAGGTGCAAGGCCTCCCAGACTCCGCAGATCTCCGCACCATACAGCGCACCGCACAGCTCCAGATCTCCCTCAGCCTTGTCAAGGTCCTCCTTGGCATTCCCATACTCCTGTAAATTCACGTGCGGCTGCGGGCCGCAGGCTTATCCGGCTTAGCCAGAGCCCAGGGTGTTGGGAAACCCGAGGAAGTTAAGTCGGCAGTCGGGAAAAAGCACGCAAGTTTCGTGGAAACAACAGGGCTAATTAGCGGGGTCAGGAAACAGGGGGCACTGGCGCTGATGCTGCTGATGATGATGATGATGACGATGATGGTGATGGTAGTGGTGATGATGGCGTTCCTGGTGATGGTGACGATGATGGTGATGGCGATGGTTACGACGGTGGTGATGATGATGACGATGACGATGACGATGACGATGATGATGATGATGATGCTTTCCTCCACTCGGGCTGACTTCGACAGCATGCACCGGAGCGGGGTGAATCGGTGTCCTGCAGCATCACACTGGCCAAAGCTCGCCTTGAGGGCCGTCGCGACGACTCCGTCTGTGGGCGCCCCCAACGCCACTCGGGTCCGGGCCTTCTCCAGAGACTCGGCCGCCAAGCATCAAGCGAAATGGCATGAGCTGCATCCTCAACAGCACCATCATAATCACCGCTTCCTGACATTGTCGAGAGAAGAGAATCTGTAGGGTGTCACGTATTTGCAGCAAACATGCCACAGCCACCAAACTTTGCAGCGGTGCGGGTTTCCCAGGAGTGCCTCGGAGCCAGCATAGGTTGACGCTGCACATGTAGTGTCATCTCCTGACTGTTGCCTCTCAAACAGGATCGCCGTGTGTGCAAAAGCCAGTTAGACTGGACTGGTTCTGTTTTCACTGGGGCCTGAGCATCCCAAGGCTTAACTGAGAAAGGGCTCGGAGAAACTCTCCAAGAGCTGAGGGCGTCACACATTCAGAGGTTCTGCTAGCACAGCCGCTGATGCATCCTACGCCGCAAACACTGGCAAGCGAGTGCAAAAAGGCTGAACAAGGGGTCTGGAAATGGTGCTCATGAATGCTGTCTGACATATGGACATGAAAATTTTCAACCATGGACCGGATGTAAGCAGCTGCGATGCTGCGTGCATTAGCTGATCCAAATATCGAAGACAACTGAAGGTCGCCAGGCAGTTGAAGCAACTGGAAAGTTTTGGTACTACCTTACTGCCCGTGGCTGAAGTCTAAAGTCGTCCCTCCGGGTTGCGTTCCGACATCTGTGAAGTCTTCTTGCGCTGCATCTACTCACGCAGTCGTCCTCGACGGCCGCTTCTGCTTGACCCGCTTGCAATCTTGCACAAGCTCGATGTCTCCAAGCAGGACCTGAAGCAGGTTCACATCCTCGTGTGAGTCACAATGGAACCTGGTGTTCAAAGCCACGCTGCCACAGTCCGGTCCGAGGGAGACCGCCTGAGGCGTCGGAGCACACGAAAGAGGCGACAAAGTGAAAGGAGGAGTGACTTCTCTCTCCGGCTCCTGATTGCAGCAATGCAGGGCGTGGCCGACGTCCTTCCGCTTCAAGCTCAGGTCAGCAGCCTTGGCCTTGGTCTTGGACAGTCGTGGCCAACTTCGAAGATCGAAGATCAAGAGCCCGGCCAGGAAGGAAGCTGCATCAGAGAGCGGTGAGAGGAGCACCGACCTGGAGTGCCAGTCACTGCTACTGAGCTACTGCGCGGAAGCCCATCCGAGCCGCTGGCCCAACTCCAGTCGGACTGGGCTGGCCCATGTGCAAGTCTGCGGGGGCCTCAGCTGCAACCGGATCTCGGCATGCGCCGTGCTCCGATGTCTCAGGCTCAGGGTCATGCGGAAGCAGTGCGGACCATCGAAGGCGAAGGTGGCCATGGTTGCGGGGGGAAGTGAGATGCCAATGGGCTCAACTCGCCGCTTCGGCGGCGATCGAAGAGCCATTGATAGTACGGCCGTGGATCTACTTTCCGACCTCCAGGAGAGACGGAGTCCACCCTCCGCCCTGTCGGCGAGACCGGCACGGAGTCCCTCTGCCCTGTCGGCGAGCTCGGCATAAACGCCATCAGCCCATGGAGTCAGGGTGGTGCGAAACACTACTGCGCAGAACAGTGCTTCCTGCTGACTCCTTTCGCGCCTGTAATAACAATGCTGCGCCTGTGCCGAGATGTTAGCAACGAGTGTGAGCTTGTGAATACAACAAATGTTCAAATGCTCCTACTTCTTGCTATGCTGTGCTTTTATTCCCCAACAGCGTGAGCTCTGGAGTCTTCAGCCGAAATAAGGGTTGGGGCAGATTGGGGCAAGGCCTGAAACACATTCCGGGGCAGGTTGCGGACGGGGGGGGTTCCGGACAGGCTGTGGGACTCGAGGCCAGGTTCGGGGTTGCTCTCGTCCCACTCCCGAGGCTATAATTCAGCCTTGGAAGCCACCGACCAATTTTGGCCTTTGTTTCAACAAAGCTGGAGCTCGATGCCGTCACTAAACCCGAAGATCGTACTGCCAATTGATTACTTTGGTTTCCGGGGCCCCCAAATTTTTTCCAAGGCTTGGAAAACACATTTAGAGCTGTTTCAGCTTTGCTGGTGTTCCTGGCCCAGCCCCCGAACCGAAATCGCGCTCCCGAAGCCCCCGACTAAGCCCAGATGCATTTTCCGATGCCTGCTAAACGCATCTGGACCTGTTTTCAACAAATTTGGAGCTCCATGCTCTCCCTACCCCCGAAAATGCAGCCACCCATAGACTGCTCGAACCAGAATCTTGTGTTCAATGGCCGGCCCGACATGGACAACCCACCCTATGATGTGAGACCAACGACAGCCGTTCCGCTGTTGGGGATGTTCAATGGGATTATTATGTACCTTGGCACGCTGATAGATAGATAGGTTGATAGATTGATTGAGACATTGAGAGATAGAGATAGAGAGACAGAAAGATGGATACACAGATAGATAAGAAAGACAGATAGACAGACAGATAAATGGATAAAAATAGATAGATGGATAGATAGATAGATAGAGGTAGGTAGGTAGGTAGGTAGGTAGGTAGGTAGGTAGGTAGGTAGGTAGGTAGGTAGGTAGGTAGGTAGGCAGGCAGGCAGGGAGGCAGGGAGGGAGGGAGGGAGGTAGGTAGGTAGGTAGGTCGGTCGGTCGGTCGGTCGGTCGGTCGGTCGGTCGGTAGGTAGGTAGGTAGGTAGGTAGATACGTAGATAGGTAGATAAATAGACAGACAGATGGATGGATGATTAGATGGACTGATGGATTGATGCATAGATGGATACATGGGTAGATGGATCGATGCATTTACACAAATGGATAAATAGAAAGGTGGATAGAAAGATAGATAGATAGATAGATAGATAGCTAGCTAGATTGAGCATACCACTCTGAAAACGCGAACTGTTGGTGTCAACAACGTCTCGAACTAGCTGCCAGTAGCTAGCTACCAGTATTTTGCTTGCTTGCGTGTTTGCAAGGGGTGTGGGATCCGACACAAGCTGCATGGGACTGTGTAACTGTATGAAGTCTTGAGTCTTGAGCAAAATGCCACAAGTCGCTCGTGCGACGCACTGGATCATAGACTTGGCACACGAGTCTGCAACAAACCTGACGAAACCCGAAAAACCCAGCCCGTGGCAGAGATACCCACCACGGGAAAAGGCAGGTGCAATCAAAAAACTCAGAAAAGACCTCCGAACCATTTTCTGCGAGGTCCAGCCATTCTTTGGCAACACTGTGGTTTGGAGCAGATGAGAAGCTACCGGATGTGTTATCAGATCAGAGAACACGTGGGTTGTTGTCAAGATGTTTGTTCCCGAAACTGACGTTAATGAGGCTGTAATTAATTGCGTGCCGCTACATGTGGCAACAGGAAACCAGGCCTACAGCTACGTAGCAGCAAACACAAGAGCAATTGGGGATGCATGGGTGAATTCCTAAGAAGGTTGCTAGCGCCCGGACCTTTCAGCTGCTGCTGTCGGACGAGATGTCGCTGCTAATTACTGCTACTGCTACTGCTACTGCTACTGCTGGACTCGTGGCGCGCTTGCAGGTTGTCCCGCTGCCGCTGCTTATGGGCTCGAACCCCCGCAAGCTTGTGTGCAAATCACGTCGCCGGGCTTTGGAGCCAATGGCCTCCACGGCCACGCGCTCGATGGAAGAAGCGCGCTGCACAGCATACTGCCTGCAGTAGCTGTCTCGGCCTTGATCACGTAGGCGTTTCCATTCTACGGGCAGCAGCATGGCACCGCGCAAAATGCACTAGACTATCTCGGATCCTGTCTGATTTCTGCTCCGGGATCGTGGTTTGTGCTGAAGTGGGCCAGGTCTTCTGGGCCAGGCTGCGTTTCATGTTTGCTAGCGCCGAGCTAGGCCGGATCTAGCGCACTGACCTCTCTTACAAATGCCCAAAAATGACCTCGCTGCCGAGCCTGAAACCCTAGACAGATATACCTACAACAATCTCGTAACCGAGGAGTGCTCTTCAGCTACTCTGATGCTCCGAAACCTGTGTTTTTCATTTGCTTCACCTTTTCCTTCTCCTTTTTCTACTCCCTTCTCAAAACTCTGCTGTTTACTCAACATGAAAACAACGACGAAGAAGAAGGTGATGTTAAGGTCCTCCCAAAACAAAACAATCCCACCACCCTCCCGGGTCACGGGTGCGCCCGATGGCGCTTTCATGGCTTCTAAAGCTTCAGCTTGAGCATGCGGCATCATGCGGTTCTCAGCATGCCTAGCGCGAAGCTCGCGGTTTTCCTAGCGCCAGCGTCGGTAATAAGTGGCTCTAGTTGCGTGCCGCCTTATGGTAAACCAACAGACATGCGACTTTAGAACGCAACCCACATGCGAATAACGGTGCAGGATCTAGGCATTTACTTTGTCAATTGTGGGCTTCATTGCACACACTAAGCAATGTTTGCATTGCCCAGACCATCCACCCACAAACCACGACGCTTTCTGATCTGTTCTTCTACAGAGGGATAACGCTGGCTGCCTCTCAGCAAAGGCTCAGAAGCTGTGATTCTACTTCCTCGAAGTGGCAGGCACGAGCTTGCGGTCCGCTGCGAGCCAGCCCTTGCTGTTCCCGCAATCTCGAAACCACCAGTCGGCCTGTCCTGTAGACGCTTCTCCAGGAGGGAGTTCTTGCCGATCCGGGCCTGCTGCGAACAGGTGATGTCAGCTGTCGTCGCTTCGTGACTCAAATCCATTGCCTGGCGCTCTCTCTCGACCTCTGGCAACAGCTCAGCGATCCGAGCTTCTAGTTGGGCCCTGGCTGAGAAACGCAAAGAGAACAAAGAACTCGTCGCTGACTGCCGATCGCGTCACAGGTCAATGCTTCCCCGTGCTTCAAGGCAACCGACTCCCACCCTAATCATGGCAGAATCGCAACTTTTCCATGGCAGCACCTTGCCGGCAAGCGTGAACCGATGGGTTCAACAGAAAACAGACTCGTGCTCCTCCATGCACGGCGCTCCGTGTATGGGTTGATGCACGCTGTAGACGGTGGATGACAGTGGCTTCGACCACGGGCGCGGCCGAGGACTCGCACGCCGGCATTCACGGAGGCCGCGACAGCTTCGCACCGGCAAAATTGGCACACTGGACCGTAAGGACATGTCTCATTGCTACACAGGAACCCCAAATCCAAAAACCCCGAAATCGAAAGCAAAGCCACATGCTTGAAGTTTCAGTGCTAGAGCAGGCATTGTGTAGCAACAACTACTCCCTGAATCGGGATTGCGCGTCTGAATCGCCGCAGCGATTGCTCCAATGGCTCTCCAACGTTGCCGGCAAGCTGACTGCAAGCGTTTAATCCCACAGTACAGAGAACTGGCAAGCCGTTTCCGGTCGAAGAGCCCTTGAAAGCCTTCGCAACGGGCCCGGCGCCCCGTAAGCCTGGTCCTTTTGTCCAGCGAAGGTTTTGCTCCCTGGCACCCCACGAGACTGCCCCACGAAGGGTTTCCTGTTCGGCTACGAGTCAGGACATGCAAAACCGTCAGTCGGGAAAGAAAGAGGCGAATCTGGGAACAGTCCGCTGAGATTCAGGAAATAAGAAAGCAACACGGGTGAACACATGTCCAAAGAGGGTGACTCAAAATGTGGGCTGTTCTACAGGTCATTGAACAGGTTTGGTGCCTCAACAAAACGCCCGCCCGCCAAGTGGTTTTCGGCGATCCTCGTTGAACAAAGCTCATTTCTCTGGCCCTCCCCGAACAAAGCCTCGTAAAGGTTGCCCTCCTCCGATTTCCCATGTTTTGGACCTCCATTTCTGTCTCAAACTGAAATTGCCAAACGTTGTCATACAAGCCCAAAGCCCTAGTTTTTAATGCCTGGGTGGTGTGGGGGTTGAAGTTGAACTTCCACTTCCACCATGCTGGCTGAGGATCTGACGTTTTGCCTGCCCTTGGCTGGCCTCAACAATGCAGAAGTGTAGAGAAATATGTACACAGTAAACTAAACGGTCCCCTTCTGTGCACCAGGCCTGACCGTCGTCTGTCGACTGGTCCCTGCAAAGAACTTGACATGCTGGTTCAGTACACTTGTACAGGTCCATCACTATGCTATGACACTGAAAATTGGAACTTATTGCTGCTGCTTTCCCTTAGTCTTTCGCACGTCTTTCGCCCTGCTATATTTGTCGTCGTGCAGAAACGATGACAGTTGGCGCTTCGAGAGGCCAGTCGCGCGGAATTGTCGGAGCGTCTTGATTAGGCCTAGGCTCTTCTATCGGAATTTGAGCATGAGCTCAATGCCTATATCAGCGTCCATCTTTGTGTGTTTGCATCTGAGTTCGTGCGCAAAGAGGTGCATGTGCATGTTCGGCTTGCATGCAAGTGCGCATGTGCGGGTGTGCACATTCCTACATGCGAGCATACATGTGCGGATGTGCATGCACGCATGAGTTCACATGAAAGTGGCTGAGTTGGCTGGTAGTCTTTGGACCCTGCATAAGCTTGGGCGGTGTAGTCAGCTGCCCTTTATAGTCGTTTGACGTGTTCAGCAGCCTTGCCGCATCCACAAAAACTCGTCCACAAAAACACTACTATTACTGCTGCTGCTGCTACTGCTACTACTACTACTACTACTACTACTACTACTACTGTTATTATCACTATTTCTTGTTACTAGTAACTAGGACTAGTACTATTGATTATCATTGCTATTCTAACTGTGGTTATTCTTGCTACTGTTCTTCACCATTCTTATTGACCTCTGGCTGTTTAGTTCATCGTATAAGCAAGCGACTAACACACAGCGAGTCATGCAGTCGGGCACCTTATACTTTAAGTTAAACACCCTGCTGTACTATTGTTGCTACCAGACAAGATCGGAATTGAGCATGCCATGCTGGACTGCACTAAAACATCCTACTGCCACCAAGTCTGTGCGGAGGTCGCGCACGCGTGCTGGGCGCTGCTTCGCATACGATTGGTAGTCTTGACACGAAGCCCCCCGGCCACTGACCCTGGTCAAAAGGAATGAAGCCCCACCAGAGAAGGAAAGCACGTGCCGCACCACGTGCTTTCTCCACCAGATGCTCGCCGGGTGTTTCACCGGAGTCATAGCCACACATCCGCTCGCTCTTCCCTCTTGCACAAAGCATATGCAGCGTACATTCTCCGACACTTCAACACAGGTGACAAGCCGAGAACACACCGCCTTGGCTCATTTTGCAGGAGGCCGGACCCGAACACTGTCGCAGCTGCTGAGTTTGATGGAAATGAAGCTCCGCTTATTGAAGTCACCCTGGTCTTTCTGGCCCTGGCCTGGTAGCATTCTGAAGGCGCCACGATGCGCTCGGCCAGCGCTGGCCAGCGCACTACCGTCAACGGTCTTTCTCACGAAGGCTTGAGAGCTTCACACCGTCTTTCTCAGCCTAATGCCTACGCTCGTAATGACATCTTGGTTCCCCCTGCTGTGCTGGATTTGTGCTGGGAACCAACATGCTTCAAGCCAAGAGTCCGCCATGCAGCTACATGATGCTGACTGCAAGGATCACAGAGACAGTGCTGCAAGTATCTGACGGTGTTTCACCGCGGTATCTGCGCCAGGGGAGAATGTGGTGGAGATCTCATGGCACATGATGACGATGCCACTGCACAGTTCTGTGCATGCACATGCATCGGAGGCTGTACATGCAGGTGCGCGCATGATTTTTGCGCAACCGCATCCTAGTCCAGGCCGGACATCCTATAATCGAAAACTGTGGAAAAATGCAAAATTCCTAGGGCAAGTATGGATCAGACATCGCCTCAGCCAGCACCTGAACGGGACTGAACATGACAATATCATGCATCCTCATCTGCACTCATTTTACTTGGGCCTGGAACTTTAAGCTTCCCATGGAGCTCCAGAAGTGAAAAGCAGTACGCAAATGCCCCGAGTGCCTGTCTCATTGCCATAAACTCTTCGATCCTCAGTCACGACTGAAGTACGGCACCCGGGGGTTCAAAACAAACTACATCGAAATCTGGGGTTCCAACTGCATCAATGGTTCCTTGGCCATCGCGTCAAAAGCCTTGTCGACTGCTGCCTTCCGCTTTCATCATCTTGCATCATGCTTCGCCCCGTTGCAGAAAATGAGAATAGGCACCTCGTTGACCCGACCGGACCAGACGAGCTTTACCATGGATTTCAGGCGGTCGCGCTCCACCTCCTGCCAAGCCCAAGCCAAAGCCGGCCAAGCCAAGCCATGCTGGCAGTGCAGAGCCGGTTCGCCATCAGGCCTTCTCCCCTTGCCCGAGGGCTCGGAAGATGTCACGCATGCTGTCAGCTTGATTCCCACGCTGGGCGCTCGCCTGGCCAATGCTGAAAAAACAAAACATGACCCGAAACAGACGGCTGTCGAGATCGTTTCCAAAGCTCCATAGAACACATGGGGACACGGGGACAAGGCTCACGCCACATCTTTGCGAAGACGCTCCGTCCGAGCGCAGCAGTCCGTGACAACAGAAAGTTCCCATTCGTCGCGAATCTCAGAGATGTTCATGTGGCTCTGATGGTTCGTGAAGACGAGTTGCACCCTGTCACCACTTCCCTCACCCGCACTGTGGACCTTGCTACGGCCTCTGTCACAGCCATCGCTGTGGCATGGTGCGCAGGGCTGATTGAGGATTCGATTCAAGGAGTACAAGAGGTGGATCAAGATGTAAATTACCTTCGGAGTCTGTGGGACCAGATGCATGCACCATCACGCACCGCTATGATTCGCCCGCATGGCGGAAAAAAACTCTGCGCAGCTGTCCCATCTGCATCCAGTGATTCAAAAGACTCGAGGTTAGTTTTCATTTCGGTCTCAGGTTTGCGGCTTACAACCATGGCTTTGCAAAGCCAGCCTGGAGAAAGCCCATCGCGCTGGCCGCCAGGTCCTCTGAGTTAGAAGCCGTGCAAACCGGCCGAGTCGCTTGGAGCCCCGCTTGAAAAGAGCCGCTCTCCTCCCAAAGATGGCGAGCTCCCTCCGGCTCCTGCTCGAGGTGCCCTGCGCAGAGCCCGGGCTTCCACCCCCCCCCAAAAAAAAAAAACGGATCTTTGAGTACTTGCCTTTAACGGCCGGGCCGATGGCGACGGCGTCCAACAAGAAGGAATCGTGCTGCAGAGGCGAAGCCGGTGATATCAAGAGTCTGTGAGCTTCTGCGGCTTTGCACGATTACTGGGCAACGGACACCGTAAACCGAGTCCAGCTCGTAGTATACAACTCGCTTATTGCCGGCCTTGCTACTTGCAGGGCAATACGTCACTCCCAACCTGAACTGGGCATGAAGTGCTCGGGCAGCTGGCCTGTCTCAAGGTGTCTGCAATCTCCTTCTGCTGCCACACAGGGAACAGCACCTGGGCCGAGCAACTACTGCACCCGGGGACCTGGATCCAGTGGTAAAGCACGTCGGCGGAACGTCATGCTGCACACCAATCACGAGAGCAGGCATCATCGCCGGTTTCAGACCGTCCAACAGACTCAGCTTGCCATCCTGCCAGAAGCAAGGGCTTGTGGACGAATGAAGCGCGGCCAGGTCTGTCCACATTCGTTGTTCTCGAGTTTTGGTGCTGATTCTGTACTAAGTAACTACTCGCTGGAGTGTTACTGGCATGCGCTGCCACAATGTCTACTGTTTGATTTCTGGTCTCCAAGACATCTGCAGAACCTTTGGTGGCAGCTGCTGTTCTCCCTAAGCTTTGATGCTGAGCTGTTTCGCGGTATAGCAACATGAACTGGAATGACCATTACTTCGCCTGCATGAAGCTCGGTGACAACACTGCGCAGCTTCATTTCAGGAATGCTTCTTCGCCTGCACCCCGTTAGCAGACCCCACAAACAAATCAACGCATGAAGACACAAAGATTTATGCAGAGGTGCTGGTAACTGCTAGTAAACAACAGACGTACATACACCCGCCAGCGCTCGTGCGGCATGTGCATGTTCGTGGCTGCAAGTGCACAGAACACTCAGCACACTAAGCCCGTAGTCCCTTCAAGCCTTGTCAGGTTTCTCCATGGAGAAGCCGTCCATGGCCTCGTCATGCAGCGTTCTGACTGCACGGCTTTAAAGCTATCGCTGAAAACCCACCAGGCCTTAGAGATCCAAAGCAGGGAGTTGGGATCGTATGCGTTCACCCACTTCCTGGACAAAGCAGAGGGACTCATGGTCACGCCAGTGAAACGCTGCTGTTGGCAGGATGAGGCAGCTGCTCCCCTTGGTGCGCAAGATAGGACTCAATCATGAACTCGTTCTTCAAACCTTATTACGTCCAAACAGTTCTGTTCACCTGCAGTCGCTACAGGCATTACGCTCACGCATCGCAACACGCCTTCTCTCTTCGTTACGCCCTTGGCCAGGCTCTGCCCGAAGCGTTGCTGCCACCTTGGACCCAGGGACCCAGTCACAACTCCAGTCACGACTCCAGGCCAGAGGCTCGGGCTCCAGTCCTGATCGGTACGTGATGGTCCCGAGCCTGTGAACCGCACTCTCGCGAGGCTCTGAATATCGGCTTCGACGAAGGCTCGCAGTGGCTTTCCCCGTCCACGTGTCGGAGCACCCTAATCGTAATAGCAAACCAAGGACGGAAAAATCCAGTTGTTTTTTGGATGCGGACGACAGGGGCCGATCGCCAACAAGCCATGCAAAGGCCACGGAGTTGCTTCGCATGCTGATCAAGATCGAGTGCCCGGCTGTCGCGCTAGTCTCAAGCCGTTTGCGGGAAGTGGGCCATCGTAGTAGTCCTGGTACGTCGGAAATGGAACTTCTTGTCGAGTGGCGCTTTGCTGATAGACTTTGCTACAAAACGAAATGCATGATACGCGCGCAACTGGGCGCAGCACACCGCCTTTCCAATGGGGATCTGACATGATGGCCTCCATTCACGAAGCAAAGAGAAGTCGCAGCTGTCCTATGTCCTGCCCTGCGCATGCGCCTGACGCTGCGCGTGGCGGAAGGCCATACTGCCTGGAAAGCTCTTTGCACCTGAGTGAAGGGAAAACAAAGCGGTTCGATGCTATCCCTGGTGCAGCGAAATTCATGGGAGGCCGGCAAGCAGAAATGCTCACAAACTTGCCAACCTGGGTCCACAAGCTGAATATGGCTCTTGCCTGAAGATGCTGTGAGTCCACACGGGGGTGCCAATGCCCACATCTGTGCAAAAATGAATTCAACAGCTGCTCGGAGAATGCAAAGTAGAGGATAATCTTTTCCAAATAAAAGCCAAGTCTGGATAATCTCACAAATCAGCAAGAGTATCAAGAGGCATGCCACTGCCAGCCCTCAAGAGTCAAACAAGCTTGCAAAAGACAGCATAGGTTTACTCCTGCCGAACGGCCGACCACCCCGTGTGACACGGTGTCCCAGTGAAAGGCACATGAGCAAGTTCATGTGAGCCCATATTTTCCCGGGTTTGAGGTTCAAGCTACCGTCCGAATTGATGAGTTTTTCCATCCGAATTGATGAATTAGGTGGTGACTCGTCTCCCGAAACCATGTAGATCTTGACTAGGCAGGTACTGCAGGGGATCCGAAGCAGGGCACTCCAGGGATGCTGAGGAGACTCTCTGCAGTTGGGCAATTTTAGGGATCTTCATTGCTGTTGCACACTCCACGGATTCTCGGTGCTCTGGGTTTGGGCGCTCCTGGAATTTTGAGGGCATTTTTTGCGGTTGGGTTGGAACCTGGGCACTCCAGGAAATATTAGCGAGTTGCTGTTCTTGAGCACTCCAGGGAGTCTCAGAAAATTCTCTGCAGTTGGGAGGGGATTTGATTGTCTGGGGTTGGGCAATTCAGGGATTTTCATGGGGATGCCGGGAGACCGGGCGAGTAGACAAGAGCTGAGTGTAAAATCTAACAACCCCACGCAGAGGGCGGGGAAAAAAACGGCTTCATTCACCTCGCGACGGAACCGGGAAGGGATTCCGGCATCAACTGGGTACCAAGCAGACATACTCGTGATAATGGTAAGCAGGGGTCAGACGGCAAGGGAGCAAGGAGCTGAAATTGCTCATGTACGAGCAAGGAGCAAGCACACTCCATCGCTAAGGCCGAGAGCTGTGAACCTCTGAGGCGAGAACCCGATCTGGAAACATCGCCGCCGAACAGACGCTCTGCATGCCTCCAAACAGAATAACAAACACGCGAGTCTCTGGCTGCAAGTGAGATGGGGCCGCCACCTCCCAGGGAAGACCCCACCTGAGAAAAGCCGAAGGGCTGAAGTCCGCTTTCGCCAAATTCGCCGCGGCTCGTCTCTCGGCTCGTCTCTCGGCCCCTGGCACAGGCGTGGACCTTGGAGATGCCCAGGTGCTCCAAGAGCAGGAACTGTGCGGCCACCTGATCCTGCACCTGCTGCACGGCACACTGCAACGCAGAGTGGTGGCCAACCTTATATCCCAAGTCCAGCCCGCCTCGAATCGTGGGAATCTGCTTCCGAAACGTTCGCCGGTGACGCTGTTGAAAGACGATGGCCCACTGAGCAGCTTCTTACATGACTCGTCTGTGTGATCGTCAGCCAGACACAAGCGGCACTTGCCTGGATCCGTAACAGCCACCAAGGTTGTTGGTGCAGATGACCTGAAACACGCCCAGATCAAGTACGGTTTCGGGTTGATGAGCAAAGGCAGACACTGCAATGAAATCTATCGAGCATGCACAATCCGTGATGTGCCGGCGTTGATCAATCCATGTGGCTTCACGAAGGATGGGCTCATAATTGTACTGCGCTGTGAGCCCCCCTTATCTTTATTGAGAACTTAGCATACGTCCACGGAACTAACCTGCACACATGCTGCAACCAGATGCCGGCGGACACCTTAGGTTTCGGGCGTCGGCGTGCTGCCGATGGCTTCCGAGATTGGCCAATTCTGATGGGACATGCCTGTTTAGTCTTCGTTCCTGAAGACCAGCCATACCGTGTACCTGCCCGAGAGTAAGACCATTTGATCCGGTGATTCTCGTTGAAGAATGTCGGCTTAGGATGCCGATGTCGGCTTGGCTGGTGTTTTTGTTCGTGCCGGGCTGACTTCAAAAAGCCTGCAAAGCCTGGAAACGGCAGCAGCTGGCAACAGTCCCGAATCGGCTCTTTCAAATCCCGGGCGACAAATCGACTCGTCGGAAGAACGGCCTCCCTCTGCAATCCTTCAGGATGTTGATGCACGGATATCCAGCAGAAAGGGATGTGTCTTCGATGCCGACTTTGTGAGCTGTTGAAAGCTGGCCCGTTTGATAGGCCGACAGGGATCGAGAATGGTGCGGTCCCTGCGGCTCGCCTCTGTTGTGTCCACGATTCGTGGTGTGTCTGTCCCGATCTTCTCTGAAACTTAGATGCTGGACCACCCGAGAACTGACTGATTCACCGCGGCTTCACTACCAACCTGTTCATGAGACTGTTGACAGCGAAAGCCTGAGGCTGTGTCGAAGAAGAGGTTGGTATCCAGAGGTCTACCAGGTCCGATGTAGTCCTGAAAGGACCAACTTTGGCAGTACATTTCCGCTGGGGAGTCTGCTTAGGGTCGACACGATGAAAAAGGTCACTTGCAGATGCAGAAGCTGCTCTCATGGAGTACAAAAGACGACAACGTGCAAGCGTTCACAAGACTGGCATTGATGCTAACATTGCGGACCTCCCACCACCCTGGTGCCGGATTTCGAGCGTGAGCGGCGGCATGTGACGACGCGGACATCCCACACCTTCCAACGCAAGCTCTCCGAAATCTGCACATGAGGTTCACACCCCGAAATGGCATGTAAGGGGAAGGCTGAAGAAGTATGGCATTGTCGCGCTTGGCATTCTGTCAGAGTAGAATGCCAAACCGCACAGCATCGCGGTGTTATGGATGCTTGCTTGCACACTCAACAGCCCAGCGCACCAAGTGGCCCCAGGTCTCATAGGCGATCTGCAACCTCAGCAAAGGCAATACCACGTTTATACCAAGTCAAAGTGATTTCCAATTGTAGGTAAGGCGTCGGCTCAGGTATCTGCTCGCCATTCCGAAATGTGAAAGGAGCTTTTCTGTGAAACATATGGTGCCTTGCAACAGAATGCAGCTTCGAGGGTACTTTGCTTGCCTGCAAACTTGCTTGGGTGCAGAGGCCCAAATGGCCCCTGTGCTTACGGGCACACACGACTAGTGTCCTCAGTCTTGGATCGGGGCAAGCCACGGCAAGCCTATTGAGTCACGTTGTTGCCCTTGGTTCAGCCCTTGGTTCAGCCCCTGGCGCAACCCAATTCCCAAGCAAATTCTTCCCTCAAGTCCAGGCCATGCACACCCTGCAGTTCGCTTGCCCCTTGAAACCCTCAGGGTCCCTGCACGAGCTGTTTTCAACACACCCCAGTCTTTTCACCAAGTGTACAACCGCCCTTGACGAGCACTGAATTCCGACCTGACGCTGAGTGGGAGACCACAAACAACACCTGCATGCCTACGAGGTGAGTTGGTGCGGAGTCGCAGCACTCCTGTGTGTTTCCAGTTTGTTGTGATGGAGTTGGTAAGCCGCAGACCAGCATGCAAAAGGAAGGAATCAACGGTCTGGGCAAGACCAAGGTATTAGGGGAGAGTGCTGCGCGTTTGTTGGAGAAGGCGTGTGGGTTTGGCTCAGACTTGTCCCGATGGCCAGCCTGGAGGGCTGTTGGCCACCCTTGTGGCAGGCCGAGTGTGCTTCCTGCCTGCGCGATCCCCGACCAAGGGCGGGCAGAGGGTCTTGCAGGCGCTTGTGGGAAAGGGCCCCCTTCTAGCATCCTGTCCGTGCCATCGCAAGATTGCTGCCCAGGCACTGATGGCTTCTGTGTAACATGCGCTGAGGGCCCTCATGGGCGGCTTCTCCTGCCTTTCCTTCGAAGGTAGCCCTGGCCCGTGAGTTGCTGTCCACGGGCGTTTAGCCTGTGCCACTCTTCTCCGAAGGGATGACTTCCTTCCTTCCTTCCTTCCTTCCTTCCTTCCTTCCTTCCTTCCTTCCTTCCTTCCTTCCTTCCTTCCTTCCTTCCTTCCTTCCGACATGCGCGCTGCCCTCCCCCCCGCATCTGTTTGCGTGAAGGGGGCTGTTGGAGGTCCCCGCGAAGGAGGCTTCCAAGAGCACCTTCAAACCCACCCTCTTCCTGTCTCTCTTGTCGCTCTCGCTCTCTTCCACTCTGCTCCGCCTCTCAAGAGCTGCAGCCTCAAGAGCGTCTGCATTGATTTCCATCTGCGGGGCATGCATTGCAGTTGAAGGGCATGCTTATATCCAGACCCTTTAGCAGTGCAGAGCACCATGCTAGCAAAGGCCAGAGCTGGAGAGTCAGCGCGACGCTAAGTTGACACGAATGGATCCAAATTCCAGTAAACATTGGCCCAAGATCAGGTCAGAGTTTCACAAGTTCCACTTTCGCTGCTGCCTGTCGCCATGGCCCGTGAAGCAGAACATATCGAAGCATTCGCTCTACTGATAACCACCGCACCCATCGAAAGACCATGGCATCCATCGCTCAGGAGCCGACCCTTCGAAGTTCCCACCGGTGTGGTACTGGAAGGCAGGAGGCCCATTATCAAAACTCAATGCGTGTACACTTCTGTCAGGTCCATGGTCGGTTTTTGCTCGCTTGGCTCGGTTAGGACTGCTGGTCCCGTCCTCGGGCTCCTTTGCAGCCACTGCCAGGCTTCTGACCAAACCACGCTGCAAGTATGACCTTCTCAGGTGGCCCTAGAGAGAAACAGGAGGAGGAGGAGAGAGGGGTGGGAGGGAGAGAGGGAAAGAGGGAAAGAGAGACAGAGAGACAGAGAGAGAGAGAGAGAGAGAGAGAGAGAGAGAGAGAGCGAGAGAGCGAGCGAGATGTGCAAACTCAACACAAGCTGCAGAAAAACCATTGCACAGAATCTACGAGCCTGAACAAGAAGGCCGGCTTCGAACTAACAAATTACGGGATCCGTGTTGGGGGAACTTTCAAAACCAGGACGCTTCTGAATCAGGTTCGTAACGGTTAAACACCTAGCCTAGAATGAGCTCACAGAGACCCCAAGACTTTCGAGGGTCTCTTGTCAAGACTTCAGGCATTGCTAAGGAACACATCACCTGCTTTTTGGGCTTTGTAAAATTGCAATCCTATAGGAATTTTTATTTTAACCCTAAATGCACGGGTATGGGGTTGCAAAGGTATTCCTTAATTCTGGGCGTTGCCCTTCAACCTTCACTTGGCGAAAGCACTTCTCCAAATGCTGGATTCTCTCAAGTTAGGGTCCCACTCGGTCCATCTGCACCCAAAGAAGGTGAATAAGCCAGGGTGTGTATGCCAGTATGTGCAACCTGCCCAAGGACCCACATCGAAACAGTTGCACGCCGCAGGTTGGCTCCTGCTTTTTAGCATATCGACACTGAATTCGAACGCAATCAGCCTACGTTTAACAAAGGCCTGCACATGATGTAGACTAGAATCGCGTGTCGAAGGGGCACCGATGCAGTACTTAAATTCATATGACATTGTAACAAAACAGGAACTGCACGGACAAAACAACGCTCCTCTCATTACTGTGCGTTGTGGTGGCGCGCGTTTTGCTGACCAAGGAGCACGTATGTCCAATGTTGGTACACAATAAGAGCCGAAACAAAATGCAACCCCATCCAGGTGCGTTGCACGTACGTATGTTGGACCACAAGCAAATGTCCAGTTTGATGACAACTTATTGTGCACTTGAGGAGATTTGGCATCATATTCAACTTTGTACAAACAAAATTGCATGTTGCTGCAAATCAATGAGGGGTGAGTTAAAAGAAGATGCCAACCTTGGTGGCCTCTTCATGGACAATTTAGTTACTCTTTAATCTTTAACTTCTACACTAACCTTTATTCAGCAGTTTAAGTCATCTATGTTTGAACACCAGCTTTGTATTCACATAATCAATCTTTTTCGAAGCAGATTACAGCAACCGTACAGATTCATTGAAGCCAATGACAGAAGCAACAGCGTTTTGGGGTATTTTGGGCTGCCCATTCTGCAGGTACACACAGCTGATCAGGCTGTGCATCCACTGACTTGCCGTAGCTTCGTTGGACAGGATAGGCAAGTCAGCTCCTGTCCCCCTGCAACCACAATCACTTGCAGTCGAAGCAGGATTTATCACCATGTCCTGGTGTTTTCACACACACACACACACACGCACCTACCGCGAAGAAGCCGTGATCCCCGAACGGATCGCATGTAACGTGGAACTGGGCTCAATTAAGCGTGCATCTACACTGCGTTTTTCCGGTGGCTTATTCACTCTTTTGCAAATTTTCGACCGTACTCAAGAATGCATTGTTTTTGGCCTGGCGGATTTTTTCGGGTTCACTCTGTCCCTTCCGAGAATGGTCACTCTTGACTGAGTCTCTACTTAGGAGAAAAGGCCCACCCACCAATCCTAAACCCCCAACGCCCAAAACCTCAAACCCCCCAGCCTTAAAACCGTGTAACCCAACACCCCCAAGCTTATAAAGCACCCTTCTAGAACCCTTAAAGGAACCCCAAACCCTAAACGCCCGAAGCGTAAAACCCTGCAAAGTACCCATCCCTTAACCCTTAAAGGACCCTAAACCCTAAACCCCAGACCTCAAAACCCTGTACAGTGCTCTTCTAGAACCCTTAAAGGAACCCTGAACCCTAAAACCCCCAAGCTTTGTACTACGAAACGGGGAACGGGGGTCCCACATTAATCGTCGCACGACGGAGGCTTCACACTGCTATCGCCTGATCGGATCACTTAGCACGGCCCTGCGCAGAGAGATCTTTAAGCACTCAAACTGACA